GCTCTGTGCTGACAGCTCAGAGCCTGGAACTTGTTTTTAGATTCTGTGTCTCCCTCTCTCTCTGACCCGCCCCTGCTCATGCTGTCTCTATCTGTCTCTGAAAAATAAATATTTAAAAAATGTTAAAGAAAAGATTTCTTAGCTGTCACACCAAAAACATGACATGGAAAAGAAAAGAACTGATGAGTTAGACTTTATCAAAATTAAAAATCTTTCCTCTTCAAATGATGTACTAAGAAAAATAAAAAACAAGCTTCAATAATTTCAAGCCATATATCTCATAAAAATTTGATACCAGAACATATATATTTTTTAAAGTTTACTTATTTATATTTTTAGCAATCTCTACACCCAACGTGGGACTTGAACTCACAACCCTGAGGTCAAGAGTCACATGCTCTTCTGACTGAGCCAGCAGGCACCCTTCAGAATATACATTTTTAAAAACTCCTGGGGCGCCTGGGTGGCTTAGTCGGTTAAGCGTCCGACTTTCGCTTAGGTCATGATCTCGCGGTTCGTGGGTTCGAGCCCCGCATCGGGCTCAGTGCTGACAGCCAGCTCAGAGCCTGTTTCAGATTCTGTGTCTCCCTCTCTCTCTGACCCTCCCCTGCTCACGCTGTCTCTCTGTCTCTCTCTCCTAGAAAAAAAAAAAACATTAAAAATTTAAAAAAAAAATTCTTACAACCCTGTGATAAGAAGACAACCCAATTCAAAAATGGGCATAAGATTCAGGTATGCCTGGGTGGCTCAGTCGGTTGAGTGTTGTATAGTCACTTGGGAAAGCAGTTTGACAGTTTCTTACAAAGTTAAACATAACCATACAGCCCAAGATTTTCCCTTCTAGGCATTTACCTAGGAGGTGTATCCACACAAAGATTTTTACACAAATGCACATAGCAGCATTACTTATAATGGGCAAAAAATGGGAAATAATCCAAATGTCCATCAATTGCTGAGTGGACTGAAAGATGTCACATATCCGGACAATGGGATACTGTTCTCAATAAGGACCAAACCACTGATGCAGGAAACAGCAGGGATAAATGTCAAAAATGTTAAGTGCAAGAAACCAGACAGAAAAGACCATGTATTGTATGTATTCATTTGTTATTGCTGCTGTAACAAATTGCTACAGACTTAGTGGCTTAAAACCACATGTATTTACTCCCCGACAGTTCTGACAGTCAGAAACATAAAATGAGTCTTATGAGGCTGAAACCAGGTGTCAGGACTACTCTGTTCCTTCTGGAGGCACTAGGGGAGAATCTGTTCCCTTGCCTATTTCAGCTTCTAGAAGCTGCCTACATTCCTTGGCTCATAGTCTCTTCCTCTATCCTGTGTGTGTGTGTGTGTGTGTGTGTGTGTGTGTGTGTTTATTGATTTACTTTTGAAAGAAAGATAGAGCACGTGAGAGGGAGACAGAGAATCCAAAGCAGGCCCCCAGCTGTCAGTGCAGAGCCCAATGAGTGGCTCGAACTCATGACCCATGAGATCATAACCTGAGCTGAAGTCAGATGCTTAACTGAGCCACCCAGGTGCCGCTACCTTCTGCTTCTTCTTATTTTATTTTTTTAATGTTTATTTTTGAGAGAGAGAGATAGACAGAGTGCGAGTGGGAGAGGGGTAGAGAGAGAGGAAGACACAGAATTCGAAGCAGGCTCCAGGTTCTGAGCTGTTAGCACAAAGCCCAACACGGGCCTCAAACCATAAACTGCAAGATCATGACCTGAGCCAAAGTTGGATGCTTAACTGATCGAGCCCCCCAGGCGCCCCTCAAGATCTTTAATTTAACACACTTGGAGAGTTGCTTCTACCTAATGTAAGGTAAAATATGCACAGGTTCCAAGGGTTAGAATGTGAACATCTTTTTTTTTTTTAATTTTTTTATTTTTTTAAAAAATATTTTTATTTATTTCTAGGAGAGAGAGAGACAGCGTGAGCAGGGGAGGGTCAGAGAGAGAGGGAGTCACAGACTGAAACAGGCTCCAGGCTCTGAGCTGGCAGTCAGCACAGAGCCCGACGCGGGGCTCGAACCCACGAACCGCGAGATCATGACCTAAGGGAAAGTCGGACGCTTAACCGACTAAGCCACACAGGCGCCCCTTTTTTTAAAATTTTTTAATGTTCATTTATTTCTGAGACAGACAGACAGACAGACACACACACACACACACACACACGTGCAAGCAGGGGAGGGGCAGAGAGAGAGACACAGAATCCAAAGCAGGCTCCAGACTCTGAGCTGTCAGCACAGAGCCCAACACGGGGCTCGAACTCACAAACTGAGAGATCATGACCTGGGCTGAAGTCAGATGCTTAATGGACTGAGCCAGGGGCTCCTGAACATCTTTAAGGGTAATTATTCAGCCTGCTACGTAGTACGTTGCATTTATTTAGAAATTTTGAGAAAAGGTGAAACTGCAGAGAAAAAAATGCAGATCAGTAGGTGCCTGGACCTCTGCACCTCAAGTGTGAGTGGGATAGGCTGTGAACAGCACAAAGGAACCTTTTGAAGTACTATATTTCATTGATTTTTAAAACACACATCTTTGAGGGCACCTGAGTGGCTCAGTTGTTGAGCACCTGACTTCAGCTCAGGTCATGATCTTGCAGCTGGTGGGTTCGAGCCCCGCGTCGGGCTCACTGCTTCCAGGGCAGAGCCTGCTTTGGAGCCTCTGTCCCTTTCTCTCTGCCCCTCGCCTGCCTGCATTCTCTCTCTCTCGAAAATAAACATTTTTAAAAATGCACTGGGTGGGACAGTTGGTTGAGCTTCTGACTTGATTTTGGCTCAGTTCACGATCCCAGCATTCTGGGATCAAGCCTCACATCTGGGGTTGCACTGAGCATGAAGCCTGATTGAGATTCTCTCTTGCTCCCTCTGCCCCTTTCTCCCTCACTCTTTTTCTCTCTAAAAATTAAAAACAAAAAGGTAAATATCTTTGATTATTGCTATGACTCAGCAATTCAGTTCCTAGGCATTCAGCCAGGAGAAATGAAAATGTACTTCCACAAAGAATCTTGTACAGGGATCTTCACGGCAGTTCATTTATCACAACCAAACACTGGAAAGAGGCTGGCCGTCCATCAGCAGTAATGAATAAAACTGTGGCCCATTCACAAAGTGGAAGCACACACAGCAGTAAGAAGGGGTGAGGTCATGAAATATACCACAAAACTGATGAATCTCAAAAACATAGTGAGTGAAGGAAGCTGGACTCACAAAACTTCATACGACTCCATTTTTACAAAGTTCTAGAACAGAGTCATTCATGAATCAGAATAGTGGAGTGTGGCTGTTCAGAGTGACTGGAAAGAGGCATGTGGGAACTGAGGTGATGGTAATGTGCCTTCCGTATCTTACTAATTCTTTAGGTTACTGGTTTTGTCCATCTAAGATTCATGCATTTCATTATATATAAATTTTACCCCCCAAAAAAGAAAAAACACTAAACTAAAAAGTACTAGTTAATAATACAGATACTGAAGTATTTAGGGGTGAGAGTATTGGCGTATACAGCTGTCTTTTAAATGTAAAAATAAGATGGATTGATAGATGGGGACAGAAAAGGACAAATGTAGATATAGGATAAAACAGATATAAGAAAATATTAACTATTGATGTAGATTCTGGGTAGTAGGTAAAGGGATGGTCATTGTAAATTTCATCTATCTTTTATGTATTTTTGAATATTTCATAATAGAATGTTTGAGAACATTTGATTGCACATCACTGTGTAAACGGTAGCAGTTTATCTTAGTGATTTATAAAATAGTAGCATCTTAAACTCAAGGACGCATGATCATTGTAAAGGATAATTTTGTGGCTCATCAATATCCCTGGCCTTCATTTCCCCTGCAGTTATGTTGTGTCCATGCGACTAACTTTGGTCCTGCGACTGTCAATAAAGTGATGCACACGTCACTTGTTGACCAAGGCGGTTAACAACCAGTGGGCCTCATCAGTCTCGTTTCTGCTGCCGCTGACCTCAGAGGCATGTATTCTGGGGGGTTAGTGAAGGAGCCCCCCGACTCTCCCACCAGTCCAGGCATGCTTGAAAAAGCCACTGGGGACTTGGAGGTTGTTACTCCAGCGCAGGCGAGCTTAGCCTTACGTTGGAGCGGGGTTTTCCTACAACTCGGATATACAAGGTCTGTCTTATCAGTTGTCTTTGCTCCGAACTCGCCCTTGGGCAGCAGGATCCTGGTGGGGACTCTGCGGCCTCATTTCTGGGGACCACATTTTTTCAGGCAAGGCTCTGCCAGCAGGGGGCGCTAGAGGGACAAGGGAGGCCCCGAGGGCGAGACGGCTTGCCGGCTCAACCTCGCTTCCCGCCCGGGCAGCACATGAACCGGCGCAGGTGGCTCGAATTAGATTCGTTACAGGCCTGGGTGAGCGTGCAAGGCAGCCCACGGGGGTCACTAAACTATCTGGGAGGGCCGGACCCGGGAGGCGATGGAGCCGCGCGGGGACGCAGCCTGCACGCAGAGAACAGCGACGCCCCAGTGTCCGGACGTAAAGCCAGGACGTGACGCCTCTGCAGGACCCCACACCTCGGGGCGACCCCAGGGAGAAGAGAGAGACCCGGAATCGTTAGAGAATGTTCCAACGAGGCTGCAATTCGTGTCCGACGCGTGGTGGCAAGTCCGCAACTACGCTGTTTGGTCGTGAACGGCGGCCGCGCAGGCCCCCGTCACCCCTAACCCACACCTCCCTCCGGCTCCCGCCGCGTCCAGGCGGCGCTCCCAGCGGCCCCGGCCCCGGCCCCAGCCTGGGCTGACGGCCCCGGGTCTCTCCCGGCTCCACCGCCCTCCCCGGAAGTTCCTCCTCTCGGTTTGGGCCGCTCTGGCCCGCGCGGGCCCTTCTTGCTGGTGGCTCGGCGCCTCTTCAGCCGCACGACGCTCCTCCGGCCGCCAGGGGCGCGGAGGCCGCGGCAGGGCCCCTCTGGTCCGCGGCGGCCGCTCGACTGCTCCGCGGCGCGGTCCCTTCCGGCGCCCTGGCCGCCACCTTCGGGCCGTTCCCCCGGCAACGCCTCCGAGCCGTTCCCCCGGCAACGCTCGGCGGGCCGGGTCCCGGCCGCCATGGACTCGCTGTCGGGCGCGGAGCCTCGCCGGGCTCACGGCCGCCTGGGCGCGGCGTCCCCCGGCTCGCAGGCTGCGGCGGCGCCCTGGGCGCGCTTCTCGGCCTGGCTGGAGTGCGTGTGCGTGGTCACCTTCGACCTGGAGCTGGGCCAGGCGCTGGAGGTGAGCGGCGCGGGGGGCCGGGCGGCGGGGCGGGCCCCCCTCTGGCGCCGTTGGCCGACTGCGGCCAGGCCATCGCCCCCAGGCGGCCTGAGCGCTGTCCCCGCGAGAGGTACCGTCGGGCCCACCCTCCAGGTGGCCCCTTCCTCCTCCGAAGCCCTGTCCTGCCCCTCCTGGAAGGTGCCCTCCCCACCAGGCAAAAGCAAAAAAAAAAAAAAAGGCAAATTGCCACGACCTCCCAGTGCGGTGCAGGAGAGAGGGGCCCTGCACTTGGCGAAACCAAGGGTCTTTTCCACAAAAATCTGTCCCGTCTTCCCCATTCTGCCACCAGCACTGACACCTTCCCTCCTCAGTTGTTGCAGCCAGAATGCCAGAGGTCAAAAGGAATTTGAGATCAGTTGCCTCTGTTGCTGTCACTCTCTCCTTTTTTTTTTTTTTTTAATGGCTTATTTATTTCTGAGAGAGAGAGAGGCAGTGTGAGCAGGGGAGGGGCAGAGAGAGAGGGAGACACAGAATCTGAAACAGGCTCCAGGCTCCAAGCTGTCAGCACAGAGCCCGACGTGAACCCATGAACCGTGAGGTCATGACCTGAGTCGAAGTCTGACGCTTAACCGACTGAGCCACCCAGTCGCCCCCCCACTGTCACCCCTCCTAACTGTCCCTCAAAGTCCAGCCTTTGTGGCTTCTCCTGCTTGAAAACCTTCCACACCTCCTTGTTCGCCAGCCTCCCCCAACTCACTGGGCCTGGGGCGTCCCCACTGCCTGCAAGAAGTCATGTCCCCTCCCCCCACCTTGGACAGCTTCTCTTCCTCCACCTATAGATGAAAATGTGGTCGCCTGGGGGGGGGGGACTTCTGCCGGCCTGTCACAATGGTCGTTTCTCCAGCCGTGACACAGACCAGGGAGCTGAGCAGTGCAGGGCCGTCACCAGGTTGTCAGAGAGCCTGACAGGTAGTTGCCAAGATGAGGCTCCGCAGCCATCCTCGGGGAAGCTGGCGAAGGCACGATTTCTCAGGCTTTGCTGAATTCCTAGAGGCTGCGAGAAACAGAAAGGCCTGCCCTTGCTGTGGACTTTCTGGACCCCAGCACTGTGCCCAGGTCTCTGTGGAGACCTCATCCCCACCAAGCAGGCGTTGCTGCAATAGCCCCATCTGACTGAGCGGCCTGAGCACAGAGAGGTGAGGTGATCTGCCCAATGTTACAGAGCCCACACTCATGCTGTTGCCCAAATTGTTCCCCATAAAATCACAAGAGAAGGCATTCTTACGTACGTTTTTCTAGAGCTTAACCATTCTGAAAACTAATTCTAAGGAAGTACCATCAAAGGCTCTCTGTGCTTGGGCTTCCGAGCCTTTGGTGAGGCCACACAGCTCTGGGAGGGCATGTTGGGGACCCAGAGCCCCTCGAAATCATCAAGTGTCTGCAGGAATCGGACCGTGACTATCAGTGCAGCCACACAGTCCTCCTCAGGTCTGCCTCTTGATCAGGGGTCATTTCAGCTGAACCTTCCGGCTTTTGAGGACATCTTAGCTGCCTGAGCACCGCAGGCACCCCGGCCCTGTGCTTGGTGCTGGGATACGGACGGAATAGGCAGAGGGCGTCTTCCAGGAGCCCCGGGCCCGCAGACACCACATGGACAAGTGCAGCTCAGAGGAAGGCGTAGGGCATGGCGGAATCTTGGAGGGTGAGGAGGAGGCAGCCAGGCGGGGGAGAAGGGGCTGTTTCAGGTAAACCCTCCCTCAAATAAACCAGCAACAACAAAGGCAAGGAGGTGCCCGTTCATTCATCCAGTAACCCGAGCACTGAGCGGCTGCTGCCAGCCAGGCCCTGCAGCCCCAGGCTGTTCGTGGGGATGCGGAGTTAAGTGAGAAGACAAGGCCCTGCCTCCCAGGAGTTCCCTTTCTGTGCTAGAGACATAGGCAGTACGTGCACGGGACCCCTGCGGACACAGGGTATGGGGAGGGGGTTCCAGGCAGATCAGTGCACTGAAGCCTGTGGGGAGGGGGAGTCCGACTCTAGAGGAAGACAGGCAGGGCCGGGGGGGGTGGGGGGGGGGAGAACATGCAGGTCAGCCGGGGGCCTGGCTCTGCCCGGGAAGCCCGACTTCAGCTGGAGGCCCAGGGCCCCTCTCCACTGTGGTGTTCACGTCCTCCCTGGACAGAGCTCCTGCACAGTCTCGGGACCCTTTCTAGTCTGAAAAGTCATCGAGGACCCCAAAAGACACACTTGTCAGTGGTTATTTGTTTTTTTAATATTTTTATTTATTTCTAGGAGAGAGACAGAGACAGTGTGAGCAGGGGAGGGTCAGAGAGAGAGGGAGTCGCAGACTGAAACAGGCTCCAGGCTTGAGCTGGCAGTCAGCACAGAGCCCGACGCGGGGCTCGAACCCACAAACCGCGAGATCATGACCCAAGTGAAAGTCGGACGCTCAACCGACTAAGCCACCCAGGCGCCCCAGTCAGTGGTTACACCAGAAATTAAAACTGAGAAAATTTTAAAATACTTATTAAGTTATTGTTGAAACACACACACACACACACACACCAGTAAATACTGTACGTGCTGATATAAATATTTTCATGAAAACAGCCATATTTTCCAAAACAAAATTTAGTGAAAAGAGTGGCATCATTGACGCTTCAACAAACCTTTTTAACACCTGATCAGAGAGAAGGCAGCTGGCTTCCCACATCGTTTCTGCTGCGCACCCATGACAGTCCGTGTTGCAGCCTCTGGAAGCTTCGGTGCACAAGCGCGAGGGTGTCCTGGGGCCCCTGGGCCACACTTAGAGACACTTCAGCACACGTGTCTTCCTCGGGGAAGAGGGTGCCCCGGGAGCAGCAGCCGTGCCAGTTGGTCCAGGCAGAGGACAAGGCCCTCGTCGTGGGCCTGCGGGGGTGGGGCCACAGGCAGCGACTCCCCCTCTCTGCCCTTCCCTGAGGGTCGCTCCGTTTCTTCCCCCATCCGGGCGTGGCTCTGTTCGGCCTTCCCTCTGGTCTCTACTCCCGGGAGAGACTGCCCAGGCCGTTAACGTGGGCTCCTGCCCAGTTTCCCAGTGGGCTCCGTGGCCGCGGGAGCGGAGGCCGAGGTGGCCCGCCTCCGTGCTGCAGGACTCCTGATTCGGACGCCTGGCTTCGGCGCGGAGGGCCCGCTGCCCCGGCTGCCGGGCACCTGCCTTTCCTTGGCCTCTTTGCACACATGAGGGCGTGGCCTGAGTGGTCACAGGGCCCCTGCCCCTCTTGGAGGTGTCTCGAGGTTCCTCTGCGGGCCCAGTCCCGTAGACAAAACGCCCTTCCTTCCTCCTCAGCTGACACGCCCTCGCAGTTTCCACACCACCTGCCTGCTCTGTTATCCCTCAAGGACGTGTTTTCGCACAACGTCATAAACACGGTGTCTGCTGAGGATATAGTCCCTGCCAGGCCAGCAGGCCGGGGTATCTGGGACGTGGTCCCTGTCCTCAGGCCCCTGGGTATGCAGCTGAGGAGACGGAACAGGAGCACAGCAGCAGGCCTGAGCATAAGAGGACAGGAAACTACATCTTTCCAACAGTGCAGACCCCAGACCATGGCACCTTACTCTGGGGGTTCAGGGAACACCCCAGGAGAAGTCTCACTTCAGCTAAAACCCAACTCCTCAGCGTTAGAGTTTGGGGGACAGAGCGAGGGGCCCCAGCACGCAGGCCCTTGGCTCCCGGCCCGCTGTAGACTCGCTGCCCTGCTGCTCCCCGAGAGCACAGGCCAGGGCAGCAGCTCAGCCCGCCGTGCAGCAGCTCCCCAGAAGCACCCTTGAGGCCCACTGCAGGCGAGGGCTATGGGGCTCCCTGCCAGGTTGGTGCCCTACAACGAAGCCCATTCTGGCTACGGGCCTGTGCATGGAGCTGCTGAGCCTGAGAGCCAGGCCTCAGCCCGCGGGACCCAGGGTGTTCTCCTGGGGCTCTGGCTCCAGGTGGGGCACAGGCCGGAAGCTCCTGGACCCCAGAACGGCAGAGGCTGGGGTGAAAGCCCTCAGTACTGTGACAGGCAGGGATGCCACTGTCTCGGATGACATCTGAATCAAGACCAGGAGATGAGGCTGACCAGGCCCCGTCTGGAGGAGCAAGTCTGGGGTGCCGCCCAGGACTCAGGCTGGGTAGAGGGGTTCAGGAGGTGGAGAGTAGGGGGGGGCAGGGGCCAGCAAGCAGGGCCCTGTGGTCACACTCCAGAGGAAAGAGGGGTCAGACCTTGGAGAGGGTGGAGGCAGGGAGGCCAACCACAGTCTGGGTGAGGGGTGTGAGCAGGGAGTTGGGGGGCTTGCCCAGGTGTGGTAGCCAAGACAAGGGAGGGACAGCGTGGTCTTGTGCCGAGAAGTGCCTGGAGGGAGCCCGGGGAAGAGGAGCAGGGGCCAGGGAGGCTCTCCTGCAGACCAGCGTCGCACCTGCTTGCCCGGCTGCTCATGTTACCGGGTGCTTGTGTCCCCGCAGCTGGTGTACCCCAGTGACTTCCGGCTCACGGACAAGGAGGTGGGTCCCGGCCCCCTTGGGAGCAGACATGGCTCTGAGCTGAGCCGGCCCTCACCGGGTTTCCTGTGTTTCAGAAGAACAGCATCTGCTACCTATCTTTTCCCGACTCCCACTCGGGTAGGCAGCCCCAGGTGGGATGTTGGCTCTGGGCTGGGGGTAGCAGGAAGAAGTGGGAGATGACTAGGGCCCCCGTGGGGCAGAACCGCTGCCTGCCGGTGCCGGTCCCGCTCCCCGCTGCCTCGGTGGTGCTCACGTTCCCCTGGTCTTCGTGGAAAGAAGGGTCTCTGGGCAGAGGGGTGGGCAGGGGCTGGTCCCCTTCGCTCCAGCACAGTGGCCACCAGGACCTGGACCCTGGCCTTTGCTCTCGTCCAGGCAGGCCTGTTTTTCTGTCCCAGACAAGCTGCCTGGGCCCCACACCAGGGTGTCCCAGTGTCCCACCCGTGCCGGTCGACAGCGTGGATGCTGTGGGCCTTCCCTGCTGCTTCTGTGCGCCGTGTTTATGGCGAAACTCCCAGGGGTTTCACACGTGTAGGACACGGGGCTCCGGGCCGGCTGGGCTGCCGTCTCGCTTCCAGCCCTGACGCGGCCTGGGGGGGGCTGCCTCCCTTCCCAGGCTGCCTCGGAGACACTCAGTTCAGCTTCCGCATCCGGCAGTGTGGAGGGCACCGGAGCCCCTGGCACGCGGAGGACTGGCGCTACAACAGCGGGGCTCCCGTGTCCTTGCAAGTGAGTGTGGCCGCCTCTCCCCAGAGGCCAGGGCGGGGCTCTGTGCGGCAGCACGGGCGCTGGCCAGACCCGCGCCAGCCAGCCCTCCGCACCGGCAGGTCCGGCACCGCCAGGCTCCGCCAGAGCTGTGTCATCGTCCTGGCCTCTGCTGGGGGCGGGCTCGCTCTTCCGGGACTCTGCGGGGTCCCTGGAGCTTTTCGGTGCGTTGTGTGTGCGGCAAGGCCTAGCCCAGGGAGCGGAGGCCAGCGGAAGCCTTCCTGCCCGCAGCGTCTGCAGAGAGGCTCCCTGAAGAGATGTCGCCCGCCTCTGGGCCCAGGACCCGCTGGCCGCCGCCCTGGCAGGGGTAGGGTGGGCGGGAGGGAGCGTGGGCAGTGGGCTCAGCCTGGCTGACTGCTCCTTCCAGAGGGAGCCGGCACACTACTTTGGCTACGTGTACTTCAGGCAGGTGAAGGACAGCTCCGTGAAGAGGGGCTACTTCCAGAAGGTGAGCCACCTGGCTGCGTGGGGGCGGGGTTCTGTCAGGCAGGGCTGGTGGCCATCAGGACAGATGGACCGAGGGGCTGGGGGTCCTGACCTTGCCGCAGGAGAGCTCGCTGCCCTGGGCCACGCAGGCCTCCCCACCTGGGCAGCAGGTGAGGGGTGGGGGATGGGTGCCCCTGTACCCAGCACTGTTGGTGGCCTTCTGGGGACTGGGCCCTGCTGCTTGCTCCTTGCTGCCGACTGGGGAGGGGCCCTCGTTATGCTTTCAAAATTAGGACAACTTCCATCTTGAACTCAGGCACCGTAAGCAAAAGCTGCTTGCCTCCTGGGAAGATCTCCCCAGAAATCCTGACCAAGTGCATTTCCCTTTGAAGGCCCGGGGTCTAGCCCCACTCTGCTTCCACCTGAGGTTTCCCTGTCCCGTCAGAGGCAGGCTTTGGGTTTCATCCTTCTAAAGAGCCTGGGGTCCGAGTTGGGCCATTCCTGGGGACAGGTGCCCTGTGGGGTCTGTGGGATGTGCCAGGCCTCAGGGTCCCCGCAGACCCCTGAGCGGCTGGGACCCCCCTCACTGGCCTGCGCCCCTGCAGGCTCTGGTGCTGGTGTCCCGCCTGCCCTTCGTGCGGCTCTTCCAGGCTCTGCTGGGCCTCGTGGCCCCTGAGTACTTCGACAGGCTGGCACCGTGCCTGGAAGCGGGTGAGTGGCTGGCAGGCCCTGCCAGAGTGCCTTCGTCATCCCAGCCTCAGCCCCCAGTGGCTGCAGCAGGCACCTGCTGCTTGGGGCGGGCTCCTGACGCTGGCCACCTGTGTCTCCAGTGTGCAGCGAGATTGACCAGTGGCCAGCGCCCACGCCCGGGCAGACCCTGAACCTGCCTGTGATGGGAGTCGTCCTCCAGGTGAGGGCTGGCTGGCTGCGCTGGGGAGGCCGCGGGTTCGTGGAGACACCCACTCCCATCTGGCACCTGTTCCCTTTGTGTCCCAGGTTCGCATCCCATCTAGGGTGGACAAGCCGGAACACAGTCCTCCGAGGCAGTGCAGCCATGAGGTGGGGGCCCAGGGCCCCACACCTGCTCAGGCCTCCCCAACCCCCCTTGTTAGGGGCCCTGTGGGGGTGGGGGTGGGGAGGTGTGCAGGGCAGGGACCACGGCCCCCAGGGCCCTCCTGGGGTGAGGGGTGCTGCTCGGGGCTTTTGGGATGCCGGTCTCGCCCCCAGCCTCACCCCGCCCGCCCTTCCGCTCAGAGTCTGCTGCCCGCCCCAGTGGTCCTTGCCAGTGTTCACGAACTGGACCTGTTCAGGTGAGCCCTGCAGGCTGCTGCCCGCTGCCTGAATACAGGGAGAAGGGGCCCTGAGGTATCAGGCCCTTCCTATCAGGAAGGAACCCTTGGCCAGTTCTATGAGGGAGAATTACACACAAGAGGAGTCCAGGGTCCCTGTGCCTCCACCTAAAGGAAGTGGGCACAGTGGGCAGGAAGGTTCCAGAAGTCAGGTGCAGGGCGGGGGCAGCTGCCTGAGGCTGCTCCTCTCCAGGCAGGTCTGCGAGGGAGCCAGGCTTTAGAGACGGAGCTGCCCTGCACGAGAGGAGCCCGGCTGCGGGCTTGTGCTGAGAGTGGGGTGCAGGGCTCGGCAGGCCTGCCGGCAGAGTGTGGGGGGCCCTAGACACCGCTCCATCTCCGCCGTCCTCACTGCCTTCCCTCCAGGGCAGTGCCGGGTGTTGGGGGGTGCTCAGGGCTGCAGGCTGCACCCCCGCTCCATCCCCTGACGCCCCCGCCTCGCATAGGTGCTTCCAGCCGGTGCTGACCCACGTGCAGACTCTGTGGGAGCTCATGCTCCTGGGGGAGCCCCTGCTGGTGCTGGCACCCTCGCCCGCCGTGGCCTCCGACATGGTGCTGGCCTTGATCAGGTAGGCCGGGTGGCACAGGGAGGGGCGCGCGGGCACAGGGCCGGCCCTGCCGTGCTTACTGTCCCTGCGGGCCCCCCCCCCCCGCCCCCAGCTGCCTGCAGCCGCTCAGGTTCTGCTGTGACTACCGCCCCTACTTCACCATCCACGACAGCGAGTTCAAGGAGTTCACCACGCGCACGCAGGCCCCGTGAGTGCCCCGTCCGTGCCCTGTCCCCTGGCTCCCTGTGCTCCACCTCCCTGGGCCTGCCTCTGCCTCTTCTCTCTCTCTCTTCTCTCCTGCCTCTAGACCAAACGTGGTCCTGGGAGTCACAAACCCTTTCTTTATCAAAACACTCCAGCACTGGCCCCACATCCTCCGTGTTGGGGAGCCCAAGATGTCAGGTGAGGCTGGCCTGTCCTCTGCCCAGGGGACCTGGGGAGGTTCGGTGAGGGGCTCAGAGGCCCACCCAGAAAGGAGCCTCCAGGGCCCTGAGGCTGTGGGCGGCAGAGCTGAGGCCCCGAGGCCCTGAGGCCCAGCCACTGGCTGTGTTTGTTTCCTAGGGGATCTTCCTAAGCAGGTCAAGCTGAAAAAGCCCTCTAGGCTGAAGACCCTTGACACCAAGCCAGGTGTGTGCCCTTGGCTGGAGCCTGCCTCTCCTCCAGAACCCAGGCGGTGGGCTCTGAGCTCTCAGGGAGACTGCTCTGCTTCACTGGGTTGGAGACCAGTGTAGATATGCAGGCGCAGTCAAAGGGAACGGAGCCTGTCTGAGGGGGGCCCTTCCGGTGGAGGCCAGCTCTGCCCTCCGAGGGGGTGGGGCTGGGGGAGCCAGCTCTGCCCTCCCGAGGGGGTGGGGCTGGGGGGGGCAGCTCTGCCCTCCCGAGGGGGTGGGGCTGGGGGGCCCTTGGGGACAGGGCCAGTTCTGCCCTCCTGCCAGGCCTGTACACCGCGTACTCCGCCCACCTCCACCGGGACAAGGCGCTGCTCAAGCGACTGCTCAAGGTACAGGCTGGGGGCGGCTCGGGGCTGGGGAAGTGTGGAGGGCTGCATTGGAGCAGAGCCCACGCCTCCCCCCGCTTAGGGCCTGCAGAAGAAGAGGCCGTGGGACACACAGACAGCACTGCTGAGGCGGCACCTCCTGGAGCTGACGCACAGCTTCGTCATCCCCCTGGTGAGGCCCCCGGGCAGGAGCGGGAGGGGCGGAGGCCGTGGCCCCGGGCTCACTCCTGTCCTCCCCAGGAGCACTACATGGCCAGCCTCATGCCCCTGAAGAAGAGCATCATGCCTTGGAAGGTGTGGGTCCAGGTGGCATCTGGGGAGGGCCTGGGAGGGAGGGAAGGGAGGAGGTCATGGGTATGTCCCCACACATGCCACACATCCCTCAGAGGACGGACAAACGGCCACACACAAGTGGCTGTAGGCCCTCCGCTCTGGGAAGGGCCGTGCTAGGGTCTGTCCCGGGAGGGGTGGGGGCTGGGGGTCCTCACGTGGCTGAGGAGTATGGCAGGGAAGGGTCCTGGCCGGCCGAGGTGCGGGGCCTGTGAGGCTGTGTCCCTCAGCTCCCCGGCTCACCAGGCCCTTCTCAGACTCCTCCCCAGATCCGCCCCTTCCGCCAGGAGGACTTCCTGCGGAGCTTGGAGCATGCAGGGCCCCAGCTCACCTGCATCCTCAAGGGCGACTGGCTGGGCCTCTACAGGTGGGTGGATGGCAGGCGGGGTCCGCAGGCTCCTGCAGTGATTGGTGCAGGCTGCCCTTGCACAGCCAGCCCCACAGCGGCGGCATCTTGCCACCCACAGGCGGTTTTTCAAGTCCCCCCACTTTGATGGCTGGTACCGGCAGCGGCACAAAGAGATGGCCCATAAGCTGGAGGCCTTGCACCTTGAGGCTATCTGTGAGGCGGTAAGGGGGGCGGCTGGAGCTGGGGCAGGAAGTGCCCGGGTGTGCAGCCCCAGGGCAGGGGCAGGGTCCTGGTGACAGATGGCTCCCTCCTGTCCCCAGCAGAACATTGAGACCTGGATGAAGGACAAGTCTGAGGTGGAGGTCGTGGACCTGGTCCTGAAACTTCGGGAGAAGCTGGTGAGCTGCCTCCTGAGCCTGTCCAGCCTCCGCCGGCCGGACGTGGAGGTCACCTGCCCCTGACCACTGCTGTCCCTGCAGGCGCAGGCGCAAGGCCACCAGCTCCCGGTGAAGGAGGCGACGCTTCAGCGGGCACAGCTGTACATCGAGACAGCCATCGGCTCTTTGCCCAAAGACCTGCAGGCTGTCCTCTGCCCGCCCTAGGGTAGAGTCAAGGGGCAAGGTCCGGGGATCTGGTCTGGCCAAGCTTCCTGGTGCTCAGTGAGAGGTGGTCCCGACCAAGCTGATGCTCCCTGCGGCTGCTCCCCAGCCCTGCCCCCCCCTGCCCCCCCCCACCCCCCCCCATCGGCACCACTGTTGCTCCAGCAGTAAAGGTGGCATTTGGAACCACAGCCTGGTCCCTGACTGTTGGCGGATCTTGCGCTGGCGGGAGCCTCGCCTCCCCCTGGGTCCCACCTGCCCTCTGCAGGGTCCGAGGGCTGGGAGGCGGAGCTGGCTGGGAGCCCTCGCTGCTCTGGGCATGTGGCCACCCGTCCCCTGTGGTGCCCACCTGCCCAAGCCCTGCAGGCCCTGTCCTCCAGCCCCACCAGGCTGCCCGGCCAGGGACGGAAGGAGGCAGCTGCCAGGCAGACCCCTCTTCTCACGCAGCCACTCACCCGTCCTGTAGGGGAGGGGTGACCTCGCTGTGGTCATTGGCTTGGGGTGGGCAAAGGCCCGTTTGCAGGGGTGGAGCTCTGCCTTGTAGTTTGCTGGGAGGCTGGGAGGGTCTGGGGCACTGTCTTGGGTACCACCCTTGGAACACCTGACCGGGCACCCTCTCTGTTTGCTCTGCCCAGTGCTGCTTCCTGGCTGACAGGCCCTCGAGCTGCCTTCCCTGTGCCCAGCCACCCCCCCGCCCCCCAGTGCAGCCTGGGGCTCCTGGGCTCCAGCCTTACCAGGTGTGCTTGGCCAGAGCCCTCCACGGCTGCTGCAGCCTCGGGCACCAGGCTCCTTGGCAAGGGGCAAAAGGGCCTCAGAGGTGTGACACAGTGGAGTGCCGGGCCCGGCGGTGCCCAGCACTGGCCGGTACCCGTGCTGCCTTGGCTTAGCACGGGTGACAGCACTGTCAGCCAGCGGGGGGGTGGGCATGAGGTGTGGACCGAGCGCCCTGGGCCTGCAGGTAAGTCTCTCGAGCTCCCGGCCTCAGCCGAGAGGTGAGGAGGTGTGGGTGCCTGACTGGGCTCGGCCCCCTCCCTGAGCTGGGTCCCGGCAGAGTGGGTGGGCACCGGCTCCGGGGCTGCTTCCCCTTCTGGGTGCCTGTAGATGGAGTACTCACTGACCACTGCACTCCTTCTGTGCTGGGCTTGGCACCAGATGACCGTGGCCACTGGTCTCAGACATGCTGGTGTCCACTTGTGCAGCCCTGACTGGCCTAGGACAGCGTGTCACTGCCGCCATTCTGCGGGCAGCTGAGCCCAGTCGGGTGCAGGGTCGAGCACGGCTGTGAATGAAGTGGATCAGAATAGAGCCGGGCAGAGGCAAGGTCCACTTCTGCAGCAGGGCCAGGCTGGAGCTCTGGGGGTCAGAGGCCCTACACTGGCCCCAAGTGCCACTCTGGCCAGCCCGCCCTGGCTGTCGGCACGGAGGGGAAGCCTCCTCATCCGGGATACGGTGTTCAGGGGGGTCTGCAAAGACACCAGCGCCTTTGTGCCTGGCTCTCTAGTGTGCCAGCCAGGGGCAGGGCCGGGCCTGAGCCCCTGAGGGCCATGGCTTCAAGGTGTGTGGGTGGCTTGGGAAGTTGACCTGGGCCCCTCTCTCAGTTGTGACCGCAAGTGGGAGGGGTGTGTTCCAAACATCACTCTAGCTTGTGCTTGCCGTGCTGTGGGCTGGGGAAGCACAGGCTGCAGGGAAGAGGCTGTGAGGGGCCTTCTCAAAGCCTCCAGGGACCTCCCGGATGGCCCAACCGGGTGCTCCCGGTTCCCTGAGCGCCCCCGTGTGGTGGAGGCCCCGTGGCCATCCCTCAGCAGTTCATCCGAAGGACCACGGTGGGCAGGGGCTCCGGGGAGGGACTCCCGGAAGGCTGGGCAGCGCAGCCCGGGGTGGAGAGCCCGAGGCTGAAGCGTGGAGGTGTGAGGCCGCACCTCTCCCGGAGCCACGACCGCCCGGGGTCCCTCCTCCTCGTAGCCTGGCCTCTGGGCACAGTGTAGCCTTGGTGGGGGGTGTCTGTGGGGCTGGGCATTAAGTACTGCAGTTCCACCCTCTCCCCCAGAAGCTCCCGTGTTCCCTCCCAGGGTCAGTGAGCTCCGGTGTGGCTGGAGCAGGCCGGGGGGGGGGGGGGCGCCAGGTGGATGGGGAGAGGCGAACGGTCCCCGTTGGGGCCCTGTGGGCGGGAGGGCCCGGAGAAGCCGCGGCCCTTGGTCCAGGAGGGTGTTGGTTTGTCCCTGAGGGCTCTCAGGTTGGAGGGGCTGTGCGTGGTGGCCGTGGGGACGCCAGTCAGCCGCACCAGGGACAGGAAAGACGTCTTCACCCCAGAACTTCCTGTGCTTTACTTAGAGATTCCCCTTTAGTCTGGAATGGTGGACCTCCCACATTTTTGGTATTAAAATGTGCTGTGACCATGCTTGTGTTTTGACTTCCTTTTTTGATAAAAAGCTGGCATCCTTGTCAGACCCTATAATTTTAAGTTCCTCTGCAGTAGGGATCGGGTAAGCCAGGGAACGAATGTGGTTCAGGCTAAAGGAGAGGTTCGCCCCGGCTGGTCGGGGGCGGAGGGCGGCCCGATGCTGGAAGAACGGGACGTTCTCCTGTGCTCCTAACGGCTTCGTCTGGTTGGGGGAGTTCTGGACCACTGGGGGCAGGTCTTGGGGTGGGGGGAGCTGAGGGGGCGTGGAGAGCCGGAGGAAGTGCAGGGGTGTGGGGTGCTGGTGCTCGGCCGGCCTGCTTCAGAGCCGGCCGCGAGGGGCTCAGACACGTCGGCGTGGCTCTGGCTCGGGGCGCTCCCCCCTCCCCCGCGCCCCCCCCCCCCCCCGCGCCCCCCCCCGTGGCCTGGGCTCCCCGGTGAACCCCGGCGCTCCCAGGGTGGTGCCAGGCCCGGGGACACGCGATGCCTGTCGCGAACCTGCGCTCGAACCCTGCCCAACCCACCCTGCGCCCCGGTGTGCGCGCCGTGGCCGCGGGGCGCGGGCTACCGGGTCCCCGCGGGGACCCTCCCGACGCTCCCTCCTCCTCCCTGCCCCTCCTCCCGCTCCTCCGCCCCTCTCTCCTCCTCCACCCCCTCCCAGCCCCTCCTCCACCCCGCCCTCCCCTCTCCCCGCCGGGGGCGGGGCCGCTGCTCCCGCGCGCTCCGGCCCCTCCTCGGCCACACAAAGGCCCGTCTCCATGGCAGCCGCGCGGGCCGGAGCGCAGCGCCGATCGCGGCCCGGGCGCCATCGAGCCTCGGCGGCGGACGTGCAGGTACCGCGGTGGGGGGTACGGGCCCCTGGTGCGGCCGCGCGGGTCGGGGGGCTTCGCCGCTGGTGCCGCTTCGTCCCAACCTGCGCGCTCTGGGCGCGGGGACCTAGGGCAGCCGCGGCTCCGCGGGGCCGATCGGGCCTCGGCCGCCGTCCGTGCGTCCTCGGCTCCTCCAGGCGGCCGGCGAGGCCCGCGGCGCCGGGCGGGCGGCGGGGGGGTGGGCCTGGCCGGGCCGGGAGTCCCCAGCCGGGCGCCGCGCCCTCTGGACCGCTGGACTCTTTCTGGTTCCGGACTCTCCCTCCCCGCCCGTGCCACTGAGATCCGTGGGCAGGGCTGCAATTGTCCCTGTTGTGCAAGAGCTGGGGACCCCCACCCACCCGCCCCTACCCCAGCAGCAGTTCCGGGGTGGCTCAGCCCAGGCTTCTCCAGGGGGGTGACCCGCAGTCAGGGCTTGGCTACACCCCGCCCCCCCCAACCTTTCCCCACATACTCGCTGGGGCTCCTTTTGAGGAAGGCCTCTGCTGGGACCACCCTGTGAGCCCCCTGGTCTGTGCTTGGCCCGGGCAAGAAGGTGGGAGCAATGGATCCCGACTGGGACTAAGGGCAGTTTAGCACCGACCCGGGGCACCTGACCAGTCCTAGTGGCCTGGGCCTGCTTGCGTCTCAACAAGGCCTGCTAAGGCCGCTCCTGCTGGGTTTGATCGGCGTGGTGTTTATTTCTGAGAAAATCTCAGACTGTGGTGGTGTGGGGAGCACACCCAATGCCTGAGCCCTCCTTTCACCCTCTGGCCCTGTATTTCTGCTTACTTCCTCCTGCGGGAAGCCCTCCTGGATGGGCTTTTCCCCACTCCTCTGTGCTCAGGCTGATTGGCAGATTTCTGGGGTCCCTGAGCTCAAGGGCCCCGGAGTTTCCTGCCACGTCACTAAGGCTTCTCTTCCCAGCAACTTGGGAAAGGAAGGAAGGGGTCCATCTGTCCCCTCTGCCTGTGGCGGAGGTCAAGATGGGGGTGGGGGCGGGGGGGGGTGTCAAGCTAGTGGAATATCCTGGGCCTTGGAGGATTTTCTGGCCCATGCCTGCTGTGGGGGGCTCCTTCTTCCATGTCTAACCTAAGCCCCTGTGCCCTCCCCAACCCCAGGGCTGGGTCCTGTGGAGAGTGGAGGGGTGGGTGCTGGCTGACCCATGCCCAGATGTCACCCTGGCATGGCCAGGAGGTGCCGTCTGAGAGTGTGAAAGTTGGACAGCTAGTGGGAGCGGCTATCCCTCTGCCCTGAGGAGAGGGTCCCTAGGAGGAAGGCCAAGCAGTGGCCTGGCGGGGCCTGCTGGCTATTTTTTTGTGGCATGTCAGCTTTTAGGAATTTCCAGAGAAGATTAAGGACAATCAGGTGGTCTTCACGGATGTGAACCTACCACCTCTTCCCACCTTACCCGTGGGGGCCCACCTTGGTCTAAGGGGTGGGCCCCTTAGGAAGTCAAGGCCTGAGGTTTGGCGGGGGGTTCCTTGCCCCAGGAGGGGAGGAGGTTACCGAGAAAAACAAGGGTTTGGAATGTGAGCCCCCCCCCTCCCGCCGGCTGCCTGCCAAGAAGGAATTATTTTGGATTATCCAGCCGTGTCCAGCCACCCAAGGGGGGAGGCCACAACCCCGCAGAGGGATCCGCTTCCGGGGCTGAGGGTTGAGAGCCCCAGGAGGGAGGGACGGGCTAGTCTGGGCAGCTCCGCCACCTCCTGAGGCTGCTCAGACCGGTCGGGGGCGGGGTGGGAGGGGATGCGTCACCCTTGGGTTGGAGATTGCAGGCTGCCCTTGCAGGCCCTGCCTAGCTAGCCTGGAGCCCACCCAGGCCCCTCGGAGGGAGGCCACAGGGCTGGAGGAGTCCCAGATCCTGTCCTCAAGGCTTGGGGGAGGGGCCTAGCCAGGGGACCC